GGTACAGCAACAACAGACACATGCATCAGTTTGAATGGACATCGTGTACAAAACCCCACCTGCTTTGTGGGGTATAGGATATAAACCTGAATCCTGCATACTCACATTTTCAGGGATGGAAGGGAGACTTCTGGGATCTGGAGCGATGAAGTATGGAACCTGATCAAATCAAATAAAACAAAACAATGAGAACATGCGTGCATTACAGGTTGCAGGATCAGACTTTTCATTCCAAAATACTGTATCCTTTAAATAATGCTGTTGTTAGATGTGAACTCTTGTGTAATGTAATGTCTTACTGGTATGTGTCCTGTAAGTTATATACCTTAAAATGTTCACGAAAATGATCCCCCTTTTTAAAAGTATTTATGGTTGTATTTTTTCTAATTTCCTCTCTATATGCAGTAGAAATTTTCATATTTAGTGGCAGAGTCCACCATTCCTTTATTGGATTAAAATAGCGGTTGCTCTCTTTACACTGTATCAGAGCTGTATTAATTTAATGCTAATGCAAACCAGAATGGGTATTCAAATCAATCAGGATTGAAATTGTATATATTACAACTTTAATAATATTTTCTCTATTTTTAGAATTGTTTTAGATGAATTAATGATACATGTTTCTTACAATTGGAGGTTTTGTTATCTTGGAATGAAACTCTTCAAATGCAAAAATCCACAACCAGCTATAGATTTGAGTCACATAGAGAGCCTAAGTCCCCCGCCTTCCGGTGGACTACCATGGGACCGTATTTCGGAAAAATGTTGCAAGGTAATCAATGGCAAGGGACAACAAATATATTGATCCCGTTTGAATTGTGCCCTGAATTACACATATGATGGTTGTCAATTTAAAACATTTTAAAGTCAAGAAAGTTGCAATTTGTTGTAAAGCTGTTGAGGAATTAAGACTGTGAAAATACGTATTTTCACAGTCTTAATACCTGAAAGACCACAAACCCAAAAGTCCTGTATGTTACGTCGTAACTGTTTCTGTCAATGACTGAAGCTAACGTCAAAAAACTTACATGAGAGGATGATGTGATAAAAGGACCAGGAGTCGTTGGATTAAACACATAAGGTGAGATATATTTCAGTGTGGAACATGGCGTGTGACTTAGGCTCTCTATTTAGGTATTTCTCGTAAGACAAAACAGTTGTTGTGGAGTCAGTACAATCATGGGTTATTCATGGGTTATGGATACATAGTTAACTGTTTCAAATATAACAAATGGCAGACGTTAGGGCAAATTGTGTTATCTTTGGATTAAACATTTAGTTAGAGGGGTGAGTGACATGGTTTTAGTCCACACGCATCAGGTTTAGCAACCAAGCACAGACAGCTGAAGACTTCCAGCAGGGGTTAGTCTGTATCTGCTCGGCTGTTATTCCAGACCACATCAACTCCAGTAGGACTCACCCCGTCTTCTCCCTCTGAGTGTCCAACAGGATGGGACACTTCTGTGCTGACCAATAGCTGCGCTCCCTCAGAAAAAACACAACACGCTAACCACTTATAAAAAAGCAGCCATAAAGTCAAGTGTGACTCCTGGTTCTCATTGGTTAATTAGAGATTTACCATCTGCAGAGTGACAGATCCAGCCGCCAGTGGTATGGGCTGCTTATAGAGCGCAGCCAGCAGCACTTTCATCTCATTGGTCTGTTGAAAAGATGATGGTTTGTTATCTAAATGATACTCATACAACAGAGTGTGGATTAGAGACTAACAGAGGAGCAGAAAGATTACACACAAGCGATAGAAACTCACCTGTCCTTTTGTGAGGTAATCGGCCAAGTTGTTGAGAAGTTTGTAAAACACTTCAAACCATGGAAGATAACTGTAATTGATTAAAAATGGGTTTTGTTGTGGTGTTAAAGGCATGAATCAACTTGACATGAGGATTCCTCTTTCAAACCGCCCCTTGCACACATTCACACACAAATGTACCTGAGTATGCAAAGGCAGGTACGTGTGCTGTTGGTGAGACGACAGAAACCAAACCGCTGGCATCCCTCAAGGTCAGTCAAAACAAAAGTAAAGTGCTGCACGGCCACTCCATCCCTCACTCTGTGCAGATAGGTGTAATGATTGAGGACGTGTAGAAGAACAGACTGACTAGAAATGTAAGCTGGAGTAAAGATAAGCATTAGCCAGCCAGTTGTACTCACCTTTGTACATCATACGGGAAGCAGAACCTGGGTAATGTCTGACAAGACTCCTATGGTGGGATAGAATTGTGTGTATAAAATTAAAGTGAAAAAATTACTTAACAAGACTAAGAATCTACAGCCATGCTAGTGGCTCTGTAAGGCTGTACTTAGGCATGGTGGTGCTTTAACCTAAAAGTCAGCATGCTGATATATTCACAGTGACAATGTTAATGTTAGGCAGGTATCATTTACCATGTTTGTGATCTTAGTTCAGCGTGTTTGCATGTGAACATTTTCTAATTAGCATTAAACAAAGTACAGCTGAGGCTAATGGGGAATTCAGCAATTTTGCAGGTATTTGGTCACAAACCATAGGATTGGACATATGCTGTACAAATGTTTGTACAAAAGTTCATAGCATCCCATTGTTGTTATCATAGCTCAGTTTGAACCAAAGTGGAGCACCAACCAACACTGCAATCCCTAGAGCCACACCATTAGCATAGCTAAGCTGCTATGATCATTGTATTGTGACAGTATATACACAAATGTTATAGGTTTCCAGCAACAGGAGACATGAGTGGCTACCTCATCATTGAAGTCCTCTGGAAACTGAAACAGTACACCAGGATCTATAACATTAAAAAGAATGAATAGATGAATGAATCTCTCTTTACAAAGTATTTTAAGAGTTCTAAATTGTAAACAAAGAGAAGAAACAGTATATTTGGCAACAACTGGGCAAAAAAGTATTTAGTGCTTTTAACCCCTTCAGTTCACACCCACCTGCTCAGTCTGTCAAACTACCACATGTTCCCATCTGGTTTAAGTTTGACTAGACAGGCTGTGTGGCTTTTTTTCAGATCACATGACAGGAAGTATGAGCAACTCTCAGCTCAGCAGAAGCACCTTCATATACACTAGGCCTTATCTGCTTATCATTTTATAATAATTATAATAATAATAATTAGTGTTGCTTTTTATGTTTGAAGTCAGTTTCAGATGTTAGTTACCGTCAGATTGGTGTAGTGTGTCATGTTGAAACAAGAAATGACAAATGACTTAATAGAATATGAATAGAGTCACAGGAAGAATTTGAGGAACAATTTTAATCAGCTTCTTTGTTGTTGCTGTTGATTTCAGTTACTTCTGTTCTACAGCTGAAAATGCAGTTCTAGTAGAAACACAAAAGGCGATTCACAGTAATTGCAAACACAACCTGGGCCAGTTGTGCTGCTGGGAGGACTTACCTTTGTCTCTGGCTACAGGGCAGGTTGCTTCAAAGAACCAGTAGAAGGTTCGCTCAGGGTTTTGCCTGACAGGATAGAGATACACAGTACTGATGTGAGATTATACTTTATATAGAAAGATTATAAACCGTGTTACCTACCAAAACATGTGCACATGCTGAGACATGTCAGGGTATCTGCCTGATATTTATCATATTACTGAAATTCAAATTTCATAAAGAGACAAGTTCTACAGAAAATGGGATCAGACACAGATTAACATTTTGCTCTGCTTTGAACAAGAGCAGGTCTACCGTGAAGTGTATGGCAACACATAAAGGGCAACAGAGTTGCTGCAGGAAACTTCCTGTGCAGTTGTGAGAGGAAGTAATAAAAACCACAAGAACAGACTGACGGGCAGAGTGATGATGATGGAAGGCGAGCAAAAATAACATTATTAACTTACTTCAGTCTGGAGCCCATGCTGTCCAGATGTGTCTGTGTCCATGTGTTTGTCCAGGGGGACAGAGATCTCCAGCAGGTGTGTTAGATAGTAGTCATACCTCTGATGTAGCAGTGGTGTAAACGAAGGCAGACAGCAGCAGCAGTCTGCACAATCAGCGCCGGAGTGACAGAACACTTCCTGATCTATGTCAGTATGTACGTTCTGTCAATGTGTGTATGTACGAATGACGTCTGTTATAAGACGACCTCTTCACACTCTCAGCCTTCATATTCACTTGTCTTAAATTTTCTTTTCTTTTGACGATCCCCCCGTTTCCTTTAAGACTTATATCTTCTCATTTATTAAGAAAAATATAGCCATCAGGTCAAAACGTAGCCTTTAATTACAAAACACTGCACATATCTGCATGAGCAGCTACTGGAGTAATCAACTTAAGAGTAAAGCTTGTGCATTTTCATTTGGTAAATCTCTACATAACCATTAGAGCTGTTGATATCTGATCAGGCATTACATAAAGAGCACCTGCCATTAATACTCAGTCATGAAATAAAGTCTCCACAACTTATAGAGCCTCTTGTAGTGTATCAAAGACTCTAGAGCTGATGCTGATAATGTGTTTAGCACTTGATTTAAACATAAAAACACATGCTTTATGTCTCATGTAGCCGACATGTAGAGCTTCCTCTGTGATGAGTCTTGATATTGCTGAGATAAGCAGGCTTCAAAACCCCCTTCTTTTCCTATAGAGAAGTATGGAATAACAGAGTATTTTATGTGAACAGGTTACATTGTGGAAAGGAGGCGAACAAGGTATCCACATCCTGCTCAGAGGCACTAAACTTATAGATCCTATACTGCCTCCTTGTGGTGGTCAAGCAAAATTGCCTAATCTGTAGACAATGCTGATCTCCATTTTGCTATCATACTGTGACATCAAGAGTAAAACTGAAAGCTTAACTGTGCATCCTCCAAAGTAAAAGATTCTCTGTTGGATCTATTTCAGTCAATAGGCGTTTATTTTTGGAAAATATGTCAGCAACACTTTTCACACACAAATGTTCAGTTACCTCCTTATTTAGCTTGTATCTCATTTTAAAATGTGTTAAAATTCATAATGTGTCACACACACAAGAAGCCCACGAACACACAAAGGGTAATGTTTCCAACAAATTTATTTCAATCAATGCCAAATTAGACAAGTGATCAAATGTGCATGGGTTGAACAGTTTTATCGAATACTTGGCCCAGGTATGGAATTGATGATGAGAAATGAACATTAACAGAAAGCTACCGACAACACACCACAAGCACACCTGTGTTAGCTACCTCTATATGAGCACTGAGATGAGGGAGACAATTTAGTGTTGTGAATCCTACTCTGGATGGACGAAAAAGGGGGACTGTCAATGAAAGAAAGAGGAGAGGCAGAGATTAAAGGAAACAGAGGGAAAACAGGGGTAAGAGAACAGGGAAAGGTGAATACTGTTTTAAAGAAGTCAGAGAAAGAGAGTAGAGTAGGCGTGAAATAAGTGGATGGAGGTGGAGTTATGATGAGTGCAGTTGAGAAATGATGATGGCATTAAGCCTTAAGCCACCTCCTCCTCTCCCTCCTCCTCAAACTCTCCCTCCTCAGCCGTGGCATCCTGGTATTGCTGGTACTCGGACACCAAGTCGTTCATGTTGCTCTCCGCCTCTGTGAACTCCATCTCATCCATGCCCTCGCCGGTGTACCAGTGGAGGAAGGCCTTGCGGCGGAACATGGCGGTGAACTGCTCAGAGATGCGCTTGAACAGCTCCTGTATGGCCGTGCTGTTGCCAATGAAGGTGGCGGCCATCTTGAGCCCACGGGGCGGGATGTCACACACAGCTGTCTTGACGTTGTTGGGGATCCACTCTACGAAGTAGCTGCTGTTCTTGTTCTGCACGTTCAGCATCTGCTCGTCCACCTCCTTCATGGACATGCGGCCACGGAAGACGGCGGCCACGGTCAGGTAGCGGCCGTGGCGTGGGTCGCAGGCGGCCATCATGTTCTTGGCGTCAAACATCTGCTGAGTAAGTTCGGGAACAGAGAGGGCTCTGTACTGCTGGCTGCCCCTGCTGGTGAGTGGGGCGAAGCCGGGCATGAAGAAGTGCAGACGAGGAAAGGGCACCATGTTGACAGCCAGTTTGCGGAGGTCAGCGTTGAGCTGGCCGGGGAAACGCAGGCAAGTTGTCACCCCACTCATGGTGGCAGAGACTAGGTGGTTGAGGTCTCCATAAGTGGGCGTGGTGAGTTTGAGGGTGCGGAAGCAGATATCATACAGGGCCTCGTTGTCGATGCAGTAAGTCTCGTCTGTGTTCTCAACCAGCTGGTGGACAGACAGGGTGGCGTTGTAGGGCTCCACCACTGTGTCTGACACCTGGCGGCACAACACAAAAAGGTCAGCGGAGTAAAAGGCCAGAACAGGGAAAAACACCAATAAACACTGTGCCATGATCGCTCTACCTTAGGAGAAGGCACCACACTGAAAGTGTTCATGATACGATCGGGGTACTCCTCACGGATCTTGCTGATGAGCAGAGTTCCCATACCCGAGCCGGTGCCACCGCCCAGGGAGTGTGTAAGCTGGAAACCCTGGAGGCAGTCGCAGCTCTCAGCCTCCTTCCTCACCACATCCAGGACCGAGTCCACCAGCTCAGCTCCCTCTGTGTAGTGGCCCTTTGCCCAGTTGTTACCGGCTCCACTCTGGCCTTAAAAGAAAGGGTTAATTACAATCTGCCCTTTGAATAGCCAGCCTTATTTATCCTGCCAAAAGGTAAACAATTGTTTTACTTCTTCTACACTATATGGAAGGCAACAATTCTCTCTAATGATAACTAACTGATAATTAATATGACCTTTCTTTTTCCTATGTAATAACCAACGTGTGTGTGTGTCGTTGATCATATACCAAAGACAAAGTTGTCGGGTCTGAAGATCTGTCCGAAGGGGCCGGAGCGGACAGAGTCCATAGTGCCTGGCTCCAGATCCACTAGGATGGCCCTAGGCACGTACTTCCCACCTGGAACACAATTTCATGTGTCAAAAAAGGAGTATTTAGAAAAGACACAAAAGACACAAAAGTTGCAGTACCACATGTGTGTGTTTGTTTTTAACAGTCCTGACCTGAGGCCTCATTATAGTAGACATTGATTCTGTCCAGCTGCAGGTCACTGTCTCCATGGTAGGTTCCCGTTGGGTCAATGCCGTGCTCATCACTGATCACCTCCCAGAACTACAGACAGGTCGACAGAAACCAGTTAATAAGCAGATAAGTTAAACTAAACTGTAAATTAAACACCTGACTCTGTAATATCTCAGCACATAATATGAACTGCCTACATTCACATTAATACTTGCTGAGCCACAGCAGCCCCAACATGTGAGCATTACGGAGCTGAAATAAGCGATTAATCAATTAATTGAAAAACTATTTGCTTGTTCCAGCTTCTCCAATGTGAGGATTTGCTGCTTTTCTCTGTTTGGATATTAATCCGTTCAGACAAGACAAAAAGCAAGCAATCTGAAGACGTCACCTTGTGATGGCCTTTTTTCGCTATATCGTATAGCAAATGACTAATCAATTCATTAAAAGAAATAAGATCAAATTAATCAATCATAAAAACAATTGCAGCCTCAAAATAACATCTGAATATTTTTTAAGTTCATCAACCTCAAATCAATCTCTGGTTCACAGATCCCTTCAAATGGGTTAATCTACATTTGAAATGAGGCTAAACCTACACTCATTAAATTATGCTGGTGATGATGGTGTTATTACCTATTAGCCCTTATTATTATAACAGTTAAATATGACCTAAAAACAGTGTTTGTTGAAAAACTGCGTTCCAGTGCATTCTGTGTCTGAGCCACACCCCACTCTCTTTCTCTGTCTCCCTGACCCCACACTGTGTCGTCTGTCTAAAACCCCTGTGATTTCAGAAGTCAAATCAATCTCATCAGACACACGCACACGCGCACACAGTTAACAGAGACAGAGGGTCAGCTGAGGTGTTGTCGCTTATTTAAAGAGCATCAGCAGCGGGGATGTCTCGACTTGCCACCGCCCATCCTGAACGATGCTATTGTACGCTGCCTTCGCTACAGTCTTATACAACACTTTCCACTCCACGAAGTTGACCTATTTAACGTTTCCGGTGGACATCATGTCCTCTTGATGCAGGCATGAATACGGTTAAACGTGAATGCATATAAAAAAAACCCGACTGCAGTTAACAGGCAGATTAAAAGCCGACGGGTGTGTGTGTGTTTTTTTATACCTTTGCTCCAATCTGGTTCCCGCACTGCCCGGCCTGCAGGTGCACGATCTCACGCATGTTGTAGCTGCGGTTTGTGTGTGGGGGTCTCACAGAGAGCTGGAGAGAAACAGGGGAAGCTGACGACGGTCTCCGGTTCTGCGGCTGTTCGGTCCTGGCACTCCCGGTTCAGTCGACAGTCTGGCTGAATGGCGGAGGAGCTGTGGCTGCGTTGTAAGCTCTGTCTCGCCCTTCCCATCGTCCGCGGCTGCGCCGTTACTCCCGGTGCTGCAGCATGACGTCATCACCATGGCAACGGGAACCGGGCACTGCCGGAAAATTTGGCCTGCCTAGGCCGGTTTGTTGGGATTGACATGCATGTGAGACAACCCTGAATAACCGAGATTAACTTTCTTCTTAAAACTCACGTCTCCCAGCCCCGGGCTTAGCCGTCTGTAATGAATAGCCTACCGATGGAACTTGATGTGATGGCTACATGCAGGGATGGGTGAGGAAGACAGTGTTATGAAGAAAGTAGGCTATGTGTTTTGCTTGTTGCATTTATAGCAGATATAGCTACTGGGCAATAATGTGTGAATTATATGTGTCTGGGTGTGGGCTTTCATCAGCACTGATCATATGGGATGGACATATAGCGAAGCCTAGGCATCAGCCTGGCCCCTGGGCAAACATTTGTTGTTGGGCCCCTGTTGCCACTGCCACACCCCTCTGTGAATTGTCCTATGGTTTAACATCTGTGCATATAAACACAAAAGTGTTCACATAGCCTATGTCTGTCTCAAATGTGTACCTCCCAGGCTAAAACTGCCAAATTCATGACCTCAGTGAATATTTTGCGTGGACAACCCAATAAAATGCGGTCCATCATTAGTAGCTTGTTATTTTGTTTGTGCTGTTGCCCTTAGAGACAGGAAGTCAGAAAACAGAGACTGGAAGGGAATGGGGAAGGAAGCAGATGTTGCTAGTCATCAAATGAGATGGCATTCCCAGTCCTCTTCTTGCAGGCGTCAATGTTTTTACAAAGAAAACATCAAAAGGTGAATCAGGAGGTAAAATCTGATGTGAGTGATCATTCACTGAACAGCAGTCTTAAATCAACTGAACACAATCTGGATATAGGCCTAGAGCAGGCTATCTGAATTCATTACTGTGAACCACAGCTGGCCTCTTTTGATTATACTATACTTATACTAAATGGTTCTTAATGATTTGCCAACATTAATAAGAGCATACACCAATATGATCTTAAAGCACCACATAGATCACACAGTGTATTAGTTATCAATTTAGGTCTTTCGGTGTCTTCTAAAAACATGCTGAATATTTTGAAAACAGTTTGTAATCAAGGCTAGTCTCTAACGTTACCTGTCTGCTGTTTAGTTCTGATCAGGTAGTGTATGGTGTCACTGTTACATCCATGGCTTTTGTTTTCCCTTAAGTTTCCTTGTGTCCCCTTTCTCTCATGTCTCTTGTACTTCCTTGTCTGTCTCTCTGAGTCTGTGTGTGTGTGTGGTGCTCCTCTCCTGATTCTCCTGGTCTCTGGTTTCCTGCTGATTACTCACACGTGCCTTTCATCAAGCTCACCACCAGTATATCAACCCCTGTTCTTCATCCACTTGTCACCAGATCATTGTTGCAGCTACAGTGGTAGTAAATGCTCCAGGCCTCTCTTGTGTACTATTCAAGTGTCGCTATCTACCTGTAGTCTCCAGCCAGCCATGCCCTTTTCCTATCTTTCATCCACCATGCTCCAGGCTGCCCAGCCATACCTTATTGCCATCTACCTCTATTACCCGCTATGCTTAATAAATCCTGTTTTACAGTTTTTCTCAGTTGCTAACACTAACCCATTGGCTGAACAAAGTTTGCAGTTGCCTGAACTCATTTAGCTAATTGCGCAGTCTGTTGTCAATACCTTAAACCATTTCACATGGTAAAACACAATTTGCAGATCTCACTTAGCAGCAGAACTCTAAAAACATTCTCATTCTCAAAACACATTCTGTACTCATATGCACATGTCATCCATACTGGTAAACACAAGTGGCAACAATCAAATACAAATAGACAACACATGTCACTCATTAAACACAACCACTCAAAATTGATTTCACTTGTTTCAAATCATGTGACACAACCAATATAAGTCAGTTCAGAGAGCAAAGAGGTTGTTGATGGTGGGCTGGAGAAAGTCTAAGAATGGATGGAAGAAACAATGTGAGAGGATGAGTGGCCCTGAACATTGTGCTTTCCATTTGTTTACAGTACTGACTGCTCAATAGATTTTGAGTTGATGCAGGTTCATATCAACAAAGAACAAGAATTACAGTATCACAGAAACAAAGGACAAGTTTGTGAGATGCAGGGTACAGTACTGTAAAAATAGGTGTACAAGGAGGAGGAAGAACAAAAAAAATTGCAAAGAGCAAAGCAGAGCATCATTTCTGATCAATTTTGAGCTACTATGATAGAACATGTTTTCATCAAGTGGGAAGCTTCCGGTCTACAATATGAAGCCGATGAAACCTGCATTCTATTGAAAATCCAGCAGGGGGCGACTCTTCTGGTTGCAAAAAGAAGTCCGGCTCCATTAGAAATGATGGGAAAATGACCCTACTTCTCAGCTGAATAATTACCCCAGTAAACACTTTCTTGATGAATTTATGGTCTCAGTTGCTAGTTTCAAGCCTTCTTCAATACAACATGATGTTCATTTAGTAAATTATTGTCCCATTTATTTTAAAATAGACCACAAAGCAGAGTATGCTTCAGGGCGGGATTATCTATGTTTGACAAGTCGTTACCATGGCGACCTGTCAATCAGGCTAGAGCCGACTCGTACCCTCGGCGCTGTATAAATTTAACCAGCGCCGCTGAAAAAGCTTATTAGGAGTTGTCTGTTCACTTTCTCTGGTGAGTACATTTAGTTTTAAGACTGTTGTTCGCTAGACAAAGTTATCAGCCTGTTAAAATGACAGTTAACGTGAGTTACAGTTGCATCTAGCTAAGCAAGCTAGCTAGCTCCACACACGGCCATTAGCTCCGCTGTATTGTCACTTCCGGACACTTCCTGGTTGCAAAAACTCGACATGGCGGCGCCCTATCGGCCTAACTCGAGGCTTCAAAACGGCAGTCCACAAACCACCGGGTGACGTCACAATGACTAAGTCCATTTCTTACATACAGTCTATGGTTTTCATTCATCAAAAGACAATGACGGAAAAATATGAAATTTGTTTTGAGATTAAAAATGTTTTCTATTTTTTGGTGTATTGTTTACTGACTGTTTGATAGTGTATATCATTTTGATCGCTTTGTTTATGTTTTGAGAGCAGTATTTGGTTTTGAGCACAGGTAAATCTGTTTTGAGGTGAAAGTTTCATTTTGCACGAGGAGTCAGAGGTTTTGTTTTGAAGCTGAGGTTTTGTGTTTAATGTTTTCAGAAAATGGAGCAAGGTATCAGAAATTGTGTTTTAACAATTAAGAAAAACTGTAATTCATCCACTTGTGAGTTTGTGCCTGCGTTTGGGTCTACTGTGCAAATCACAACAGTATAGTAGGTTTATCAGAGATTTTTTTGAAAACAGCTTCCCACTGTGGCTGGAAATAAGACTGATGAGTGCGGCGAGGCTAAACAAGATGATTATCGTAGTGGGCTGTAAAACCTAAAGAATGAGCTGAAAGACACTAAAACACTGTATTGCTGTAGGGAATTATCTGTTGGTTCATGTTCATGGATTTAGTCCTGCTAAATATTATAACAGTTCCCTTTCCTCTGGAAGTGTATCTGATGATGAAGACTTGTGTTCAGTGAAAGGGCACACATTGGATCCAGCTCACATATAAAACATTCGGCCAAAACAGTTGTCATTTATTTTAAAAATTCAGTATTTGAGAATAGCTTTGTTGCAACTTTTAGACACACTAAGGAATAACATCTTTGTAAAATTCCAGAGTGGGTTTCGAATGCTACACAGTATGGAAACAGTCTTTGTGTGACAAATTACTTATTACTTGCTGCAGACTCAGGAAACAGAATATACGGATTGAGGGACAGAGGAAATGGGCAGGAATCACAGGAGTGGTTCTCCTCTTACCTGGAAAACAGCAGCTAGCATCACTTGTGGACTGCCCCGAGGGTCAGTTCTGGGACCAATCTTATTATCACTGTACATGTCGCCCCTTGAATATTTCATTTGACAATATAACATGTCAATTTACTATTACGCTGATGATCGACAGTTATACTTCTCATGTGAACTGAACAATCTAACCAAATGGCATTGCTTTTCATCCAATGCCAAGGACTGGATGGCTAACTTCCTACAATTTAATGGAAATAGAACAGAGATTTTGATCTTAGGCCCAGAACATCACAAACTATACAGTCCTCCCTTGGTCCACTAATTGCCAACATTAAGTCTTTGGCAAAGATTCTTGGGGTGACTTTTGAATGCCACTTACCCTTTGAGCAGCATACCAGAAATACCAATCAAGCCTGTGTTTGTCAATTAAGGAACATCTCCGAGATAAGACACATGCTCAACTTTAATGACAAATAAAAAGTCATAAATGCTTTTATATCATGACACCAACAGGCCATCAGTGGTCTGGCTCCAGATTACATTAAAGAACTTTTAACCCCTTACAGCCCAACCAAGCCCCTAAAATCAGCTGATCAAAACCTTTTAGCTGTTACATTGACTGAAAGCCAAGGGTGACCATCTGTTGGTTATGGCCCTTCGGCTTTGGAACAGCAGATTCCACTCACTTTTACAAGATGGCCAACACTTAACAGTGTTTTCCTTTTTCATTATCACATCGCTTTCAGATGTCCTCTTTTTTAGTAACATTTTATAGTGTCCTGTTTTAACTTTACATATTTTTAATTGTGCTTGTTTTAGTATCATTTTAGTATTTCTAAATGCAGGTATATATATTTTGCATCTGTTTGAAATTCAAGAGTTTGTTCTTTTTATTGACATTCTATCAGCTTTACATATTAACTTATTTCTTTTATTTTGCACTTCTGTTTTTTGTTCTTGCTGCTTGATATACATGCTCTCATGTTCCTAAATTTTATATGATAGCCTTAAATGAGGCTTAGTACATAGCTCTGACCAGCTGTTTGTAAGAGTTGGGGAAAGCAACGGGCCCAGTGCATTTTGGCTGTTGTAGGTGTTCTACCTTTTGAGCAAAAGGGAATACTGCAGCCCTTTTTTGTCTGGTCATCTAGCACCAAACTAAAAAATTACATTTCATGCGCCCTTGTGATCAAGTGTTGCTTTTTACTGCATAGACAGCATAGTTTTATTAATATACCACCTTTCAGCAGTGAAATACCCGGTTAGAGTGGTGATTTACTAATACTGAGGCTTTCATTGCATACACTGGAAACATTAGAGCAGGAAGTGCTCTAGTGTATACAGTAGGTACACGTGTTGATTTCTAGGGGTTTAAATCCAATGTGTAGTTTGCTGTGCGCACTGCACTGTGTGAGTACTTGAAGGCCACACGATATACAATGCACAGAGAATTTTATGTGTGTTGTGGTCTGTGTGGTGGTCAGCAGAGGCCTTCCTTTCAGGCTTAATCCTGCTCTGATTACTGTAGTAACACCTTACATCCACAGAGGGGCAATAGAGACCTTCTGATCACACACTGCTCCCTGTCTCTGGAATCTTTGCTGTTCCTCTCTCCTTTAAAAAAAAATCAATTTGGTTACATTTTATCTGTTACATTTTATAGGTCATAGAGTTGCAAGCACCATTAGTCACTTAACTCAATAAAGGGAACTCCTAAGCCTGCTGCACTACTTTTTACATGTTAAATGCATAAAAGAGCAGCTACAAAGTATTTTAATAGAGAAAATGAAACTGTCTCTGAACATACACCAAGAGAGCTTTTTTATTTTATTATACTGTATATATCTCAGTGATATTTCTACAATTTGACATTGGAGCATTCCTTCAAATGGGCTATATGTAGTTTTTTAAAATGCAATTAATCACTTTTTTATTGCCTGTGTCTGAAGTATTGTAACTTCACATAAAAACAACCCATTTGCCATGTTTTCCTAATCCTATGTGAGACCGGCTCCCAGCACAACAAACACTCCAACACAAACTCCACATATAAATAAAAAATAGGCAAACAGTTTTATGTGCTGAAGCCCATCAGGACAAACATGAATCAGATCGACTTCAGGTGAAAACAGTGTCAACATCAGAAAGGCCTGAGTCATGGAGAAACCTCAGTTTTGTTTTGAAACCGAAAAAATCTACACAGAGTTGGCTTTCATCCTTTTGGACCAGCAAACTAACATTACTGCAAAGCATGTGAAATATATTGTGATTTTGTGCTTTGGTTGGCTCAAGTTAGATAACGTTAGCTTGCCGGCTAATGCCGACCAGTTGCTAACGTTATCCAGTGCAAAATACAGTTGTATGGCTTTCAACATTACTTCACCAGCTAATGCGATCCACATTACTACCTGTGCACCACCAGTATTATGTCAAACTGTTGATTTTAGCCTGCAAGAAATGATATAACGGCACAAAGCAAATGTGGAGCTATTTGTTTATACTAGCCTATAGTGATGGAAGAAAGGACAGCAAGCTATCATTATCATGAATCCGCCGCTGTTTGCTTCGTAACATTGAATTTAGATTTATAGACATTTTACCCATGCTCAGGTGCGCAGCTTCTCCACCTTCTCAATTGCTGTAACATTATAAACAATATTGCAACACGACGCAGGACAACACCATAGTGGAAGACCAATTCACTACAGTAACGTTACTGTAGTCTAAGTGTTAAATAATAAAGTGTGACAACAATCTCATTATCTTATTCAGTCTCACTAACTGTTTCGTTATCATCCAATACATTTAGCTGTGCTTGCATTGCTGAGCTTCCGGTGAAAGATACACAGATAGTTATTGAAAATTGGATCACGTCAGCTGAATGTAGTCAATGTACCGTTATCATACAACCAGCGTTGAGTAGTTCAGAGTTCATAAAAATATTACTGTAATGTTGCAGTGGGAGTTTACATCAGTTTCCAGCACTTTGTGTGAAGCAGATTTTGCTGGCTAATGAGTTCGAGCACGCGTAGGAGCACATACATGGTTTCAATCTAAAAACCAAACTGCTAGTGGCTGCTGAAAATTATGTAATACCCCTTTCAACTTGCCCTGTGGATCATTTCCAATTCTGAGAAATAACCAGGATCACATATGGGGAAGACTTTCAGGCTGATTTACTTATGAAAGATGACTGTAAAAACTGCAGCCTCTGGTTAAATGAGTCCTACCCTCTCCCTCATTTTCCATCTTTAATATATCAATATGTATCTTTTTTCAGGATCACATTAAGTTTTTACAGAGGTCTGATTGCCTGAGGAGGACAGAGGAGCAATTAAAGACTAACACACACACACACACACACAAACACACTTACACACACTTGACATTCGCCTCCTCCTTTCCTTGAGACGAAATGAAGTGTGCAGAGCATATCCTCCTTCTTTAAGAACATGATGTCATATAATCAAAATCCATCAAACCCAAAGTGTCTCAGGTCACATTCCCCTATAGTGTCACAAACGTCTTATTCTCTCGGTCTCAGCGTCACCACTGTGACCATCAACAGTGCATCTCCTCCTGCTCTACATCTATCCAACCTACTTTTCAGTATGCTTTGTTAAAATGTCACACTTGAAACACACACACACACACACACACACACACACACACTTCCCTAAGCTTTCTTACTGCTCATAAATTTTGTGGTTATATGTTACGCCGAGGTGAACACTTGAACAGCGGTTTGTCATTTTATGCCAGAGTTGGCAGATACATTTTCTCTCATTAATGAGAGCCATAAAACCACACGGCCTGTCAGAAACATTGAGATCACTGAAGAGGGTACTCAGCACTTTGAAAGGACAATCACACAAGTTAAAGTACAGGTGCACACACACACACACACACACACACACAGAGGAAAAAGTTCAGGAAATACACTGTTCAAGTCAAAACTGGGATCAAAGAATTTCAAAACTAAAGACCAGCGGAGCACAGGGAGAAGGACAACTTAATTTGCTGTGTATTGCAACATATTCATAACAACATAACTTATTCAGTTATTCACACAGTAACATGAAGGCCAAAACTTCAATCTATTTTATTGCAGTGATTCAGTGTTTATGTGGATTGCATATTGACATCAAATAGATCAGTGCTGCTGTTGAAGGTGAATAAAAGTAAAGTGATACATTTACAGCACAAGTCTGCAGAAACATCAAATTACTTGTTTATCTATATGACTGAGAAGGATTAGATAAGAACGTGGGAAGTGATTTTGGCTGTTTGGCTATTGTTGCTAATCAGTATGACAATTCAGGCAAAGACAATAGTGTACTGAGGGAGTGGGGGAGAAAGACAGATAACTTGTGGGTGTGCAGTGTGTTTGCATGTGCATGAGGCATATGAGCGTCTCAGGAAGATTTAATCCTCTCTGTCTTTACATATTCAGTGTTCGTGTTTGTCAGAAAGGAAAACAAAAATAATCAGCCAGTCGCCTCTCACCATTCATCCAAATTCCAGAATTTTCCTTTGTGTTATATATAAAAAAGAATATGGAGAATGATTGTTTTAGCGCTTATTCATTGATCTTCTTCACTCTGTCATAGTCAGAGTTAAAGACTGGATTAAGTATAAGTGATTACCATGAGATGATTGATGTATAGTTTATACCAAAGTTACTATCTTTTTTATATCTCCAGGTGTATTAAGCCATTGTAGGCAATGATGCAAATCAATGAGTAGGACTGCTTCATGGCAGCATTGGATTTACAGGATTTTTGCATTAATATAGTCATGTACCATTATTCTTCAGGCATTTAAGTCACTGGAAACCAAACCATTCACACATTTCCTTTTTCTGTCCCGTTCCAAAATAATGTTGGCATTCAGTCATAGCAGGTTTCATGGGTATTTTTAATATAAAAAAAACATTTAACCCTATGTACATTATTCTTCGCCACCAGAGCTAATGGAGGAAATGAACAAGTTCCTATATAGAATCGCAGCCCTGAATCAAATAAATAGGAACTGGCTAAAACTCCATTGATCTGTTCAAAGATGGAAGGTAATGATACAGGAAATATTACAAATTGAGAGAATACGTTTGAGGGCTTGTTTCCATATATCTTTCTGTCGGGCTGAATACAGCCCTGGTGTGCGTCAACTAAGAGTTGTCCAAAATCTATTGGAGAACAAAAATGCCTTTGAAGCATTCCTGTGTGAAACAAGCTTTAAAGCCTATTTAACAGAGTAGCTGAACCGTGGAATTTACAACTTCTCCGTCCGTCACCTGATGCACAGTGGCCCTAGAAATATTGTTTTCCCATGGACATACATTGTGAAAGAAATGTAGCATTAAGTTAGCTACCTAGCTAATGCAAATCTGCTTCCTCTTACATTTACTCACTTATCTGATTATAGGTGAATGTTGCCAATCAAAACTGCAATACTTGAGTGACAAGTAGGCTATAGGAAATAAGATATTTGTTGCGGAAACCAGGGACTGGGAACACAAGCGCAGGACACAGACAGGTGTTGCGGGCAAGGTGGACTTTATTGTCAGTTTCACACGGGAGTTGGGGAAAGTGGCGGTGGCAAGGCAAAACGGCGGGTGCCAAGGGTTGGTGAGGCGGACAGGAGAGGCGGTTGCGTGGCTGGCGATGAGGTCCTGGGGCAAAGAAAAACAAGTTAGCTTCAAAGACACGGAGAGGCAGAAATATGAAGTTCTAGAATAAGATTAATCTTGAGCCAGAGTATAGCTACCGCTATGGGTGAACAACTATCTGGCGACAAATGACTGGAGAACTGGAGAAGATATACTGCAGGAAGGTGAGCTGATGACAGGCAGGTGTGTATGGTCAGGTGAGGAGTGATGAGCTGATTGCCAACAGGTGCGTGAGCCCACGGAGCCAGAGGAGGTATTCATGACAAAACACACACACACACACACACACACACACACACACACACACACACACACTCTTTCACTGCACAAGCTCTTCATCCCAGAGCTGCCTTTCTGGCCCCCACTCCAAAAAACCCCCCAAAAATTACTATTATGGACAGAATATAAAAAACATTTAAGTTTAAGTGGATTAGTCATGAGGTCGTGATTTCATTTATGAGCATTCATATTAACAAAATCATTTACTAACATATAGACATACTCATGGTACACATCTTAGAGGAGGATTAGACACACATGCACACAACCCAAATCTATGGTATATAATTTAAAAATAGTCTTTATTTAGGTTGCAGGAGTTAAAATTAGTCATCCTCAACATTTGTTGTGTTATGGTTTAACAACGATAAAGACAATAAAGGCGGGATGATTTTCTTCCTGGACAGCTATCGTGTTTTTCCCAAATGATATACAGATTTTTAGGCATCTCAAACAGCTTGAAAAATAGTGCATATAACTGTCGTAAATCGTAGAATAAATATCCCCAGGGAAGACAGAATATACATATAGAGAAGGTCTTATACTCACATAAAGTAACTGTGTCATGCATTTTTAGCTCGTCAATTATGGGAACAGCAGGTCACTCAGTTGATGTTGCACCTTGGACAGAAGAATAACTGGCACGTCAGAAATATGTCTTGTTGTTGAGATACGAAGAATGTCATACAGATAGGTTAACTTGTTTCTCGTCTTATCGTCTTTTGTTCAGAGTCATCAGGGAAAAGGTTTGCTCAGCAATGTACAGTACAGTAGGTGGAGCCGAAAAGACTCATCGTTTGTGTTGCATGGCGTCGCAACAGAGGAAACCTGGCCTTTTATGAAACCCAGTAAAACTCAGGCAGCGGGAGAAGCTGATGTTGACTCTGCAGAGCATAATTGCATTGCATTTCGATCACCTCCAATGGCACACTTTCACCCACTTCTGCCACGTCAATCGAGAAGAGAGTTGTAAAGAGCTTGATGTCTTTTTCAATGGTCAAAAGTCTTGAAAGCGTTGACTGAATTGTGTCAGAAGAGATGTGATCACTGACCAATAGTTAACTTTTTTGTAGAAAGAACTTTTTGTAGAAAGAACTTTTTTCCCAGGCATCTGGGAAAGCAGCCTTCAGGTCCGACAATGTGGGGAAGTGGGTAACACTGAAGCAGCCTAGTTGTGTCTCACAAAGACGTCTTTGCCTTGCAGGCCTTCGTTCAATGTGTTAAGTTGGCTTCTCAGATAGACTAAAAAAACCATGTCTGCAGAAGAGGGTCACTCAGTTAATGAAAATGTCGGTCCTTCCCTTTCAAAAATATGAAAGGCTCATGAGGGTAATAACATTGAAATACAGGCACACACACACTAAGAACGAGCACATACACGTTGAAAATGTTCACATTCCACCACCTTCACACACAGCGAGGGACAGGCTTGTGTGTATCTGAGTGTGTGGATGTAAAATAATTTCAGTGCGCAGGAAGGCACTAAAGCTGCGTGTCATATGTAAAATATCCCTGGTCAAAATACATGCATTCCTGTACGAGTTTATTGTATTTCACAGGTCAGCAAATAATTGTATACTGTAGATCATAAAGCAAAGTATTGTAGGTTTCATTTGAATAAGCAAACAAAGAAATAAAATGAATGAAATCTAAGTAGGTGAAGAACAAAAATTTAATGTGACATGCTATAAATATCTCTTCCCATAGGTTTAGGGAAATATATATTGTTCCTAAATCTGTGAGCACATGATTAATTGTGCATATGGTTGCTTAGATACACAATATGTCTCTACAAGGCACATGAATCGTACACAAAACCATGTTTTATTGCTTTGGCCCTGATTTTATTTTGAAAGTTAGGACAATAAGTGGAGGTTGCTATCTGGTAAAATGGCGCATGCGTGACACATCTAAATATTGGGCAGTGGCATGATGTGGGTAGTAGCAATGGCAGGAAACCATCCAGAGGAGGCTGTTGGTATTTTGAGGAGGCTTCTAGGCCCAGGTTGCCACTCTGAATCTAGACCTTCCTTTTACACTACAACAATGCACAGAAATTATTATTATTAGCGGCCAGTACATTGGAGTGGTAGGTCTGGAAATCTTAGTGATTGATTCCTTGATTGCTCATACTCGAATTAGATTGATTGTTTTCACCAAGCTGCTAGATTCCGTTAGCTACCATTAGGCTAATTACATAGCTATTATGTAGCGATATGTAGTCAGAGCAGAGCAGACAAGCTTGAAGATGAATTGTTTAGGACTGTAAATGCCAAGGCAAGGCCACTTTCTGACTTCGCATGGATGAAGTAAGTGAAAATAAAAGACACACTGGCCTTTTCTTTAAGTTTATATTCAATTTAATAATATATTATCTCAATGTATAAATTATGTCTACTAAGTATTTGTGACAAAAAACAGGCAATTTATTATTTTGGCCTGTAAAAAACATGCATGGCCAGTGGATTTTTTCAACTACTAGTCCTTTTTGCCCGTGAGTCAAGTTAATGTGTGAATGTATGAATGTACATTATTGGTCATACACAGATATATATGTACAGTATTCATGTGTATATATGGATGAAGCAATTATACTTTTTTACTTGCTTTCTGTTTATATCACCAGTTGCATAAAGAAAAAAAATAATAATTGCAAATATATTTGGCATTTTATGGTTGTACTGAATCATGAATGTATTGCAATAAACGTATATTTAAAAAGTCAATGAATTAGCCAGAAACAGACTATCTATACATACACTATATAACAATATAGTACATACTGATGTTGCAATTTAAAATTACATAAACTGAGATAGACAATTTTCTCCATATCCACAGCTAGGCTTTCCTGATGGTGTCTCATTAGGTGTAATTACTCTGTGGTTTTACCAGCAGTCATAAATGATGACCTGAAATTAAAATGTATTTTAATTAGTGTGTATACCCTTGGTGTTGTTTTGACATGTGTTTTATTAATACATACATTACTGTTCTGTTGTTGCATACAGTTTGGGAAGCGGTGTTATTAGTCGTTTATTTGCATCATCTGGGATTTGAGCACTCCTACCTAACTTTGTGTCATGATTTAAATCAGGCCCACGTGGGCAGCGCTGAAGTGACTACCTGCTGCTGTTACATAGTGCCATAAACATAGGGCCCATGAGAGACAGCTAACTCTAGCTAGTCCCCCTTCTTTCTATAATGTGGAATGAACACAGCACTGTGTTCATTCCACATGTGTGTGTGCATGAGCTGCTGATGACTCAACAGGTGTTAAATTACATGAAGAAAAAAAAGTCTCTGTATAGCACGATGGGTTCTCTTTTGTAACATTCAGTGTTACAAAAGGATGTTATATCAATGTTCATAGGTTTTAGGTTTCAGGATGTAGACAACCATGGAATTTGTCAGCCCATAAGAAAGACTGTTTCCACAAATGTATGTCCATAAAAGGTTTTATCATATTTTGAAAAATGGAAAGACATGCACAGCATAGCTGCTGTTCATATTTGCTTGTGCTAAAAGTGTAGTCAAGTCTCAAGTCCTCTTTGTTGTGACTTCAGCCATGACTCCAACCTTTTATTTCTTCTTTCGAAAGCATAGGTGGGTTTTACTGTAGAAGATGATTTTGTTTTTGCTGTAAATATGCAGATAGTTATGGATGACATGCATTTCATGATGAGAAATACTCTAAGGTCTGTTTCAGCTAACATGCACATGTATACGTGAGCAAAAGATTAAAAGTATTTTGGGTGTTGAGAACAGCACCAATCACAAACTAATCCAGATTTTCTTATAATCGCTGCTATGATTCCTTCACTCTTGTTCTTTTTAGGACAATCACACGTGTCTGGCTGCCTTTATTACCTTGGTTCTCTTTATCTATTGACCACCTGTTTTATATTCTGGAAATTATTTGAGCAATGGGAAGCCACTCGTAATTTGTAATTATCAAGGATAAAAACCTTTAAGAGTATTTGTGCTTAAATAATTTTGCAATGTGCTCGGTTTAATGCCATGTTATTTACTGATATCATTAAACTAATTATCTGTCTTCCCGCTGACTGCTTGTCTGAGTCATTCCACAAAGCCCACATCTGCTGAGCAAGAGTCCCTCTTTCTGCAGCATTACACAGACTAACAATCTGTGGCGTTTTGAGATACAACGTTTTTCATGTCTGTGGCTACAGAGAGTTAAAGAAAAAAAGATGATACTGAGCATAAGTGAAGTTAATACTTGTATGCATATTCAGACATGGCCCACAGGCGCACATACAGAGTCATCCATAGCACACTACTAAAATCACTTTCACTACCCCATTATATATGTAAACCTTTATTTAAACAGGAAATGTCCCATTGAGACACAGTCTCTTTTACAAGGGAGTCCTGTATAGCACAAATAAAACACAATGTTTCAGCCATAAGTTGAAAAACAATACATTACGTAAATTAAAATACAATACAGATTTACACAAAGTTTACAAAATATTTACATAGAAAAAGAGTTTAAAATATCTAAACAAACGAAATAAGGACTAAATGTAGAGATCTACCTACCTCTTCAGTTCTAAACTGAAGAAGTCCTTTGGATGAGGGACGAAACGTCTTCCAGTATCTTCAACCAAGTCCAGTTGCCCTTGACTTTAACCTTCGTTGGATAGCCATAGTAAGACAGACTCCTCTTGTCTCCTCTGTCTTAAATGATATATACTTTGCATATCAACAAATCTTAAACAGATATAAGAAGGCAAAAGACCTAAAATAGCTTTATAAATAAAAATGTACCATTGTAGCATGCTGCACAGTTTGAGTGATGGCCAATTTACCATACTGTATCAGATGAAGTGATGTGTCTGATAGCCAGCATTTGTGATGAACCCGAGAGCCGCATGATAAAGAGGGTCAAGCTTTGACAGAGTAGTTGGACATGCAAATGGATAGATGATATCACCATAATCTATCTGAGACAAGAATAATCCAGGTTTTTCCG